TTTATCAAGTTCACTAATTATTTTTAACAGTTAAAAACATATAAAAACATTCAAATAGTTATAAAACACCTATTTTTATTATATAAACATCTATTGAAATATTTTTGTTGGCGTTCAAGGAATAGGTAACATATAAAATGTTGGCATTCGAGGAAGACACCGTCTTGTAACTCGAATATTTTTATTATATAAACATCTATTGAAATATTTTTGTTGACGTTCAAGGAATAGGTAACATATAAAATGTTGGCATTCGAGGAAGACACCGTCTTGTGACTCGAATAATTCAGACCCTCCATGTAATTTACGACATAATATAAATATAATAGTATGTCCCGGTTGCAATCGATCTCTCCTTATCGCATAACTGAGCAGCGGAATAAACGATTGAATAGTTTAGGTAACCTGGCTTTCCTGTCGCGTAATGAGCTAGAATTAGACGCGCAAGATGTGGGATGGACATCAAAAACTAATAAACGCCTTTTTCAAACTTATAGTTTTCAGTTGTTTTTTTGTCTATCTATTTGTATTTTTTTTAAGTTGATGACCAAAGGGCGTATGCTCTACATGAAAAAAAAAACAGCAAAAAATTATCTGTCAGTATCAACACAATTCAAAATGATATTTTCAAGCATTCGAAAACAGATAATTTCTCAAATGTAAACAGTCATAATTCTTCTTCGTGAAAAATATCTCCCCATCCACTAGCTAATTTAAGCATCATTAGTGTACTGGTGTGCTTTTTGTCAACTGTAAATTATTGTCTGATTCGTTGTAACGGGGGGTGTTTTCGAAAATTTTATTAACAATAAAAAAAAATTTCAAACAAATTCGAAGAAGGGCAGATTAGAAAATTTCGGCGGTTGAAGACTAATTACCCTAGATAACACGCACAAAATAAAAGATTTTTTTGAAGTTAAAGCATTTTCAAAATCCAAAAATTAAGTCTGTCGTCGAGGGCTTTTAGAAAAAATTAAAGGGGGTGCAAGTGAAAGGTGTGTCCTACTTTCTCTTTTTCAGTACATTTGATTTTGGTTTTAACATTTTTGTCGAGCCTTCGACTTTAGTCGAAAAAGCGAGACATAGCGATCCTACATTCCGTCGGCGGCGTCGTCGTCGTCGTCGTTGTCGTCGGCGGCGTCCACAAATATTCACTCTGTGGTTAAAGTTTTTGAAATTTTAATAACTTTCTTAAACTATCCTGGATTTCTACCAAACTTGGACAGAAGCTTGTTTATGATCATAAGATAGTATCCAGAAGTAAATTTTGTAAAAATTAAATTCCATTTTTTCCGTATTTTACTTATAAATGGACTTAGTTTTTCTGCGGGGAAATATTACATTCACTCTGTGGTTAAAGTTTTTAAAATTTTAATAACTTTCTTAAACTATCCTGGACTTGTACCAAACTTGGACAGAAGCTTGTTTATGATCATAAGATAGTATCCAGAAGTAAATTTTGTAAAAAAATAAATCCATTTTTTCCTTATTTTACTTTTAAATGGACTTAGATTTTCTGCCAGGAAACAACACATTCACTCTGTGGTTAAAGTTTTTAAAATTTAAATAACTTTCTTAAACTATCCTGGATTTGTACCAAACTTGGACAGAAGCTTGTTTATGATCAAAAGCTAGTATCTAGAAGGTCATTTTGTAAAAAAATAAATCCATTTTTTCCGTATTTTACTTTTAAATGGACTTAGATTTTCTGCCAGGAAACAACACATTCACTCTGTGGTTAAAGTTTTTAAAATTTTAATAACTTTCTTATACTATTTTGGATTTGTACCAAACTTGGACAGAAGCTTGTTTATGATCAAATGGTAGTATCCAGAAGGAAATTTTGTTTTCTTCCAGTTAACATTACATTCAGTCTGCAGTTAAAGTTTTTAAACGTTTAATAGGTTCATAATAAACTATCCTGGATTTTTACCAAACTTGGACAGAAGCTTCTTACAATCAAAAGACAGTATCAAGAGGAATATTTTTATTGATTTACTTCCTCATTTTTGTTGAGCCTGCGATTAACAGAAAAAGTAGGCGAGACACTGGGTTCCGCGGAACCCTTACGAATTTTTAGTTGCATAAAGCCTTTTTGTTGTTATTCAAACACACTTAATCTATTGTTATGATTCATTACAAAGGTACTTCACTTGACCCATATATTTCAATTTTGCTACTGTGAGTTTTTAATGTTATAACATTGACATATCGAGTAAGTCTTAATATATGGAAATAATGGAATTTGAAGCAAGATGATATATAAGATATTTCTATCTTATACGTTTTCTTGACAAAATTGTCAACTAAAACATGCCTGTCTTTTCGATAAGATTATTTGCCATTTTGTGAAAATACTGTTGCCGAGGGCAGAGGTGCAAGCTAATCCTATTCATAGATCAATCTTACAGCTATCTGTGGATTTTTTTTAGTCGAATTTACGCTTATGACTGTTTTAAGATCCAAAAGTATAAGCCGCCATCTAAGGATTTGTATAGTACTATACAAATCCTTGCCCCATCATAATGAGCTGTTTTGAGAAAATTTGTCTTTAAGAGTTTACAAATATCTCTTTAAGTCCATTCTATAATCAGAGTACAAACAAGTATTTTAGTATATTAGATGCAAAAAATCCTAAATTATGCACCTACATTAAACTTTTAAATACCAAATAAACAGGTTAAATAATCCAAGTATACCGATTTGACCATTTGTGCCTTCTCCAATAAAGACTTCCATTTCTTTTGTTTAATTTCAACTGGATGTCAGCCTTTTAAGTAATATCATGCAAGTACATAAATACAGACCTTCAGAATTGTGTTACCATAGGCCAAATTGAACCAAATGTTGAAGGAATAATGTTTAGAAGGGTGACTATGACAATTTCACATTTCTTTCTGATTGGAGGAAAAGCATGGTCACCAGAAGCAATTATTAGTTCTGATTGGTCAAATTTATAAAAAATGAAGTCTCCTTTAAAGCTTCAAGGTAAAATCGTTTAAAACCTTATAGGATAGATGGCTGGGATATCTTCTACAAAAAGCTTCATTTAGTGCTGATTGGGTGACATGCCTGGTGGCTACAGTGGCAAATAGGTTTTCATTGAAGCCTACAGGAAATAAAATTTTCATCATCCTCAAAAATCAAATTCCTCATTTCATTGTCATTGCTGCCAGAGGCACATCCTGATTCTGATTGATTTTATTTCAAATTTCTTCTCTGAAATAACAATGCCAAATCTTTTCAAACTTTTTAGGAATGATGATCAGGAGACTCTCTACAAATTTTCCTCATTTACTGCTGATTGGGTGGCATACCTTGTGGCTACTGAGGAAAAATTAAGCTGATTCCCAGGTGAGCAATTTATGCTCCTTGGAGCCTCTAGTTGTTATTGTGTTACTGTCTCAATTGACATATACCACAAATCTCCTTTGATAAATATAGCTAGTGTAACTAATAGGTATATCAGAAAACCTTTAAGAAATTTGGGTATGCATGTACTATAGAGGCCATATAAAATATATGACAAAGTAAACATGTCTATGGTATGTTAAGACACCAAGAAAATTTTGCAATGATCAACCAATTCATGTTGAAAGCCATTAAACTATATAATATTGTAAGAATGCAATCTTCTTTTAGCTCTGTTCTACTACCATCTCTAGCTTTGTTGCAGCTCTTGCATGTCAGTTTGGTAAAATATCTTACCACCTTCACAGTTCGGCCTGTAGTAAGATTTTCTCCTATGAGGTGCAAAAGAAAACACTAATGGTCAAGAGAACGTGGCTACCTTTTCTTTAAAACACTAAGGCTCACAACTTGACAGCTAAATATGTATGATTGTGTTTACAGTCTTTGGACCTCAGTTTTGTTCGTTTAAGAAAACCTAAGTGTTGGAATTTTGCTATTGAATCCTCTGAAGTCCTCCACGAATGCTTAACAGACATCTTATACGTTCAGATATTTCACATTCCATCTTTTATGGTAAAATTCTATACAAAGCACAAAAATGTCGTCATTCACCTCAAAAGATAACCAAACCTTTAGACAGACTTATTTAGAAGGGATATAGTTACGATACTGTTGTCAAGTCATTAAAGATGGCATTTTTTGGAATTAATATTGATTTACGCATAAGGTCTTTGCATCGGAAATATACACATTTATTCTAAAACCAGTTGTTGGCATGATACAGGTTATGTTATATCGTATATTCTATGATTGTATGATACTACATAACAGGAGGAATTGTGCTTGATTTTCATATAATGAAGACATAATCTTTCAATCAGTATAATTGAGGTCTGGAGCTGGCATGTCAGTAACTGGTAGTAGTCCTTTGTTAATATATGTTGATTATTGTCATTTTGCTTAGTTTCTTCTGTTATCTATTCTCACATCAGAGTTGGACTTCTTTTAAAACTGAATTTTACTGTGTGTATTGCTGTGGGTTTGTTTATTCTACATTGGCTAGAGGAGGGTTGAGAATCTCACAAAACATGTTTAACCCCGCTGCATTTTTTAGCCTATCTCAAGTCAGGAACATCTGGTATTTGTTAGTCTTGTATGGTTTTTTTTATTTTTGATTCATTTATATGTTTCGAGTTTAGTGAGACATTATTGTTTGGGGGCTAGCTGAAGCCCGCCTATTGGTGCAGGATTTTCTCGCTGTGTAGAAGACCCATTGGAGGTCTTGGGCTGTTTAATGCTCTTTGGTCTGGTTGTTGTCTCTTTAAAGCAGTCCCTGTCTCCATTCTCAATTTTATTAAAAATGTTCAATTTCTTCTGCACGTTCAAAACTCTTCACATCATTTTAGATTATCTTTAAAAGCTATCTAAATTGAAGTAAAAATAATAACATGAAAGGACATATTGTGACTGTAGGATCATTGGTTGATTAATAGTCAATGACAGATTCATAAAATTGTGTTGCTTTTCAATAATGTGGTATTCCTTCTCCCGGACAAAACGACTTCCACTTATAATTGAATTGAGAGAACTTTATTTGTATTTCCTTTTAATACAATAAATAGACTCTATGTACAATTTATTACAATCAATGACAATTTACAATGATATACCAGTTGCAACTTACAGTTGAATTCTAGCCATTCTTATATACAATATTACATAGATTAGGACAGTCTTCATATAAAGATAAGGGGATGTGTTATGTTTGCCAATGTGACAGCTACCTATCAAAGACCAAACAATATGTAATTGTTGGAAAAGAGACTTGAGAGCAACTTTGGCATCCAATAAATGCAAATCCAGTCTGTAATATCATTTTCATAAAATATTTGTCAAAACCAGAATAATAATACATTTTCATGTTCAGAGAATGGTGAAACCCTAATTTGGCATATATTTTAAAAACCTCACATTATAATGAACATTTGTACTTAGTTTCAATTTTATGTAACCACAACTTTATGGTCAGCAACCTTAAGCCATACAAAACTTTAACCTGAACAGGACTGATGAATAGATGGAGAGGCCCACAGATTAGACAACAATATGTGCCTGTATTGTATTTCAGGCATAAAAATCGGCATCCTTTGTTTTAAATCCATTCAAGACTATAATGGTAATTAATATAAATATTCAAATTTTTTGGTGTAAAGTACACGTTTGTCTTTAAAAATTCAAAATATCCATTATTACAAATGTTCTACATCTATCATATCAATGTTTTTAACAAAAAAACTACTAAAAACTCATTCTTTGAAACTTTTTATGTATAAATATAATTATAAAGCCACAGATCCAGAAATTGCAAGGAAAAGAGGGGGTGGTTGATGGATAAAAAAAATCATGAATTTTAACCCCATACCCCTGTTCTGGAACTGCCAATGTCATACCTTAGTAAACCCAATAGTATCTAATATATTTCTTAAAAATACATCTAACTCACTGTATGCTAACCTAACCCACCACATATAAGAAAACTTAAGACTTTATTTTAGTCTAAGAATAATCTTAATACTTTATATAGCAAGAGCACCTTTTATAAACATGACTGATTGAAATAAACCTTATCTCCAAAGGGATTAAAAGCTTTGATTTTATTCCTTATCTGAAATTGATTATAAAATGTTATGGCAGTATTGTTTATTAAATGCAAGAATATAATCTAGCTTGACAAAGATTTGGTCATTGGACGGATACTAAATTTTTTTGGTTATTCACAAGGTACAGCTGGTGGCCTTTTTGATCTGTTCTCTAAGGCAAGTCTTTGTCTTAATCTTCTGACTTCATTTAATAGAGCTATTTCCTTCTCATCAAAAGCACGACCACTTCTTTCTAAAGAAACTGAAAAATAACGAAAATAATTTAAAATGTACCAACAGTCATCGATGTAGGGGGGGGGGGCTCCTGTAGGAAACACCTTAGGTCACTTTTAAGCAAACTAAACAGTTTTAAATAGATCTGATATTCGGTTTGGAACATGTCCTATTAAATTAGACATCAAGTTGCAATGTCACCAACCAAACCAGCCAAGGTGGCAGGTCAGATTTGAACATGTTGGAGCCATAAGTAGGAAAAAAAACCACTTTTTTCACTATCTTCCGTTTCATTCCTGTGTCTTTAAAGTTACATAGAGTATAATATTTCATTTGTCAGTTAAGGTTTTTTTAAGGATAGTTAAATGTACTTCAATTTCATATTTTGAGCAATTCACAAATAAAAATGAAATTAAAGAAGTGCTTTGTCTCAGTTGCAATCAAAGATTCCAAAAAAATTACATTTCTAACTGAATGTCCAAAAGGAATATCACTGAAACAGACATACTGAAAATTAGAATATGGTTATCAAAAAAATTGAGGTAAAAAAGATATTTTTGGCTAGTTCATTTTCCCTAACCTAGGTACACTTTTTTAGTCCTTTAAATTAGTTGAGGAAAATCTCTCTAATTATCCTGTCATCAAAACAGTTACTATTTTAGTCTACTTATAGTTAATATGACATTAAACATTGACTTAACGATAATAAAATCAACAGATCTTACCCTCAACAAAGGGCATTTATATAAGTTTGGTGAAACATGAATGAATAACTGACTGAAATTTCCTGAAAATTCAGTCTTTTTAGTGCTGATATGATCTTGACCTTTAAAATCGTTAATTAAAAATTTTCTCCAGTGCCAGAACTGAGATTTACCTACCTCCAGAAGAATTAGATGTAGTCTGTAAAGTCTGATAAAGATCTGACTGTTTTGTGCTGTTTAATGTGGTATTTCCAAGTCTTGTACCTGAAATATATAAATTGTTTCGTAAAACAACTTGACCCTTGTTTTCTTTCGAATATCTAACATGGGAAATTGTTTACATATGTTTGAAATCATACCTGTCTAACTTAATCATTACTTCAATCAACAGTTATGTTATGTTTTTTTTTTGTCAATGTTTTTACTGCAGTTCTCGCAATAAAATTAAAAATCAAACAAAAATTCCCATGTGTTACCATGCTAAACATACCCCTAATTGTGCTGTCAAAATATGAAACTGTTTGGTTCAGTAGAAGAAATAAGTGAAGAAAAGATAATGTTCATTTAAAAATTGAAAAATTCAAATGATCAGCAAACAGGAAGTAACTGTCTAACAGATTTAAAAAGTGCTCACACGTTACTACTTATTACAAAATGAACAAATTAACAATAAGTCTAAAAGGTAGTTTCTGCAAAGCTTGTTGTCATGTATGAAGGGCAGAAAATTTACACTGCCAATGGAAAAAGATGTTATGTTGGGTAGGGGCAGAAATCTTGTCTTGAAACTGGCCACCGACAGACATCTTAAATGTTTGTGGCAAGGAATCTTTAATGTGCCGTGAGTGTGGCACTCTGCTGACACAAGGAATCTAATCTACTGTGTCCAACCCAACCAGACGCGGCTGTGAATGTGTACATCAGGCACACCTAAAAGGACTCCACTCTTTACAATGGGTTTAAGCGTTGGATGGGAGAAGTTGTGGTGACCATATTACAATACCCTAGTCAACCCTTTAGATGCAAATGGTAGAGAATATGATTGAATGTGCAAATATCTGTACAAGATGATAGTGACTTTCACTGGCATACTCACTATTATTATTTAAATTATATAAGGCATCTTGTGTGAGAGATTTCCCATGCTCATGTGCAACATATCCCTCTTCTTCCAATAATCTTAATCGTCTCTGGCCACTTTCTGCTGCATCCTGTTTCTGTTCATACAGTTCCATGTGAGCAACTTCTGTCTCTGTATCCTAAATAAAAAAACAAAAAATAATAAAACATTGAAGACAATTTCCTTTTATTCATAAATGATTTAACTAAATGTTATGAAAACAACAATCAATCAATCATAAGTAGACTTTTTGACTTAAAGATTAATAATAAATTATAAATGTATTAAAAGTTATTTAATGAAGTAAATATTATATGAATTAGATAATTGAATGAATTCACAAAAAGGTACCCTCAAGTCCGACTTAACTTGATGGACTTAGGGGCACCCTTTTGTGAATTCACTCACAGTTCTAGTTCATATAACATGTACGTTTATCATGTAAAGTAGGACTGCACATACAAGGGAGATAACTGTTTGCTTCTATTAAAATAAAAAAAAAATGTGGTTCTATAAAACAATATTCTTAATTTCTGAATAAATAGCACTCTCATATATATAACTCTAATATTTTGTTATATATGATAAAGGATTTTAAGAAATAGTTGATTTCTGTTTCCACAAATTGTACTTGCAGCAGAGATCATTCAAATGCTAACCAACTTTCTTCCAAGTGACCAAATATATATCAGTACATGTATATGTGATTATTTTTGTGTCAGCTTTGTTTAACAAACAATCTAATCTTCATCAAGCTCAAAGTGCTTGTTTCATAACCATGACAATGGAAAAAATGTGTACGGTAAATTTAGCGGTAAAATGTCTCCTGCAAACAGTGAAATTAGACACAAATTTATTTTCCTGGTATATGGCACAGAAAGATTGTATTTTTAATTATTGCTGATACATCAAAATTGTTTGTGTGAAACTGCTTGCTTTAGGGAACTTCACTTTAAATAGACCATTGTTTAACTTAATTAATTTAAAAACTTCAACAGCTATAATTTAAGTAGCTCTTTCAACACCCTAATATCAAAAGAATGATGAATGATGAATACTTGGTTCATGTTCAAGCAAGATAGCTGTAAATATACTACAGGAAGACTGTTTATTTACCTTTCTATCCTGAACTTTTGTCATTAAATCCTGCACTTCTTTCTCTAATGACCTATTTTCTGCATTCCTCTTGGCAAGCTTCAAAATGAAGATAATAAAACAATAAATTATAAAATACTTTGCTTTCAATTTTTCTTTTTTGTCTACTTAAAAAAATCACATTAAAAGAAAACACTTTACACTGGTAGCAAGAAATGAACATTCTTAGAAGGGATATTCTGACCAAAATGCAACTAAAGATATAACTTGGATGAAGTAAATCACAAAATCATGAAGTAAGTGATACATATTCAAAACATCATCTAATATTTTCACATCAATAAATGTACTGGTACACAAATTGTTTACAAAAGGAAAAATATAAAATTCAATTTTAAAATAGTTATTCATTGTGATGTATTTGTTAATTTTTGTGTGAAAAATTTGACAGAAAAGTAGCTCACATTTTCATGAAAAAAAATAGACTTGACTTGATGTTTCCAAAAAATTAATACATTTACCAGTGATTTCAAAATTTCCAATGAGTTTTCATAAAATGTAAATTTTAAGTAATAAAAAAATGATTTCAATAACTTACTTGTAATGACATTGTCTCTCTTTCTAGATCCTGCAGCCTACGTCTAGACTCATACTCATTTGAAGCCCAAGCTTCAATATTCTGTTGTGATGATTTTGCTAAACCATCTTGTAAGGTCTGTAAATAAAGAAAAAATATAGCTAAAATTTAAGGACTTCATTACTACAAAAAATTACAATGAAAATACAGAAAGAAAGATGTCATTTTAAAACATCTGATAATATCTATATAACTTTAATGATAAGTAAATGTAATTCAAAATTGTTTCTGTTACCATTTTTTTTTTTTGGGGGGGGGTTCAAGCCTTATCAGTAAATAACACAACTATGTACAAATTTGAACTTGCTAAACCATAAAAGTTATGTACATATTGAAATTTCAATTTATGAAGATATCTATGCAAATTTTAAAAAACACTTGGTTCCAAATGAAAATTTGTTGGTTAACATGATTTACAGTACAGCATATAACATACACTGATTTTCCTAGTAGTTCTTTAAATAATTTCCTTTATGTGTATCATATTATCATTAAACTTTACAACAATTACTTTTCATCTTGTGGTTGCTTTGAGAAAAAGTTGTTTAAAATTTCAGATGCAGCAACAAAATAAAAAAAAATTGTAAGTGTGTACTACAGTTTGATCTTTAATGTCATAAAACACAAATTAATGTAGATTTATTCATTTTCATGTGTGTTGATAAACAATGTTTAATCTGGTTAAAATAACCAAAATATCAAACCTTTCTAATTTCCATTTGCCTTTCTCTTTCTGCATCCCTCAATTTTTCCTGTATTCTTTCCTCTAGCTCAGCCTGTTTACGATGCATATCTTGTTCAGTTCTTAGATGATGAGATGATGTAGCAAATTCTCTAAATAAATCCTGCAGAGAAATCAAAAATAATTCTAATCATATACTTCATTCTCCTTTGTAAGGGCTGTCCCAAAATTTAATGAGTGGGGGATGGGAGGCATTCAAATTAATTAAAAATGTGTGGTTGCATTTTCCTTAAAATTTTGTCAGAATTATAAGTAAAAATTCAAAATTTTATTTTATGGGTGGTCTGCTTCTTAAAAAAGTGTATCCAATACCCCCATGCATTTAATTCTGAAACAGCCTAAGGAAAAATATCAACACTTGTCGACACCAATTTTAGTTTTTTGTGGGAAGAAAAGCGGTTTATGAGTTTTTCAATATATAGTTTGAGACGTGATGCACTAAAAATTAAAAAAAAAAATTCTAAAATATTTCTTTTTGAAAAAAACATTAGAAAATTACAGGTTATATCTGAATACTGATTGTGATTTAATAGGTCGAAGGTCAAAAGTCAAAAGATGAGGATTAACCTTGGTTGTATTATAGATTACTGTTTTGATAGATAAGGACATCATAAAGTCTGGGCACCCAAAGTTTACAGAACTATACATAAAAGGTGATGCGGGGAATACTATTTCCATTGGTATTCCATCAAAAACAGTTTTCTTATAGAATAATCAAGCTATAATAAAATATTCAAAAGATGTCACTATTCGAACAACTCCCCTACATTTTCAAACTGTTTCATTTTTAATTGTAAGTTTTCCATACCAATCTAAACACTTGTAATTGTAATTGCAATTTTAAGTTTCCCATACCTGTTCAAACATTTTCTTTTGTAATTGTAATTCTAAGTTTCTAATTTCTGCCTCTTCCATAGCTGTTTCTGTTTCTTGGTCTCTTTGTAAGGCCTGAAAATATCAGAAGAGCACAATCACAGTAAAAGTTTATTTCACCGTATCTTAGCAATTATGTGTTATCAAAATCATCTTTTCATAACCTAGTGAATAAAAAAATCAAGGAATTATGGCATTACCTACTTTTTATTTGTCATAATTTTGTTCCCCTTTTTTTAATATGACTTCACCCAGCTAAAGCTCCATTGGAGCAATTATGTACTTAATGTCAGTTTTATCACTTTTACTAAAGAAAAATCAAAGAAATTTAATATTCTTCTATGATGCTACAAGATTGTCTAATGCATTTGAAGGTTTTAAACAAATTAACCTGAACTTGTAACATAAAAGAAATCAAGCTGCTGCCTATACAATTGAAAACAAATATTTGCTGCCATTTTCTGAGTCAAAATTCCTAAAGTTTATATGCTTTATAGTCTGGTCAAGCTTCAAAATCAACCTGAAGTTGACGAAAATTATCTAAGTAAGGGTATCCATAAAAGATGGATTGTCCAGAGTTTGTTTTACGAGATACAAGTAACCAAGTACACCAATATATTTCTTCTTGAAACATCATTGAACATCCAAATTTGTGGTTTATCTTTACCCACGAAATTAACAAAAATTGGTATCCCACGAATATTTATGAATCCACAGTATATATTTAACAGACCAAAGCTTTGATTTTTATTAGGGCCCCGCCGAAACTAGGGCCCCTCCGAATGGTGGACGCCCTATAGTGATCAGTCTGTCCATCCGTCCGTCTGTCTGTAAGAAATTGTGTCCACTCTATATCTAGAGAACCGTTATGATTTCAAAGTTTATACTTGACATGTATATTGACCAACACCAGAGGGTGTGTCATAATGTATGTACAACTTCCTAGTTCAAAGGTCAAGGTAAAAAAATTTGGTTTTAGTTGACAACCCCATGTCCTATGGTAAAGATTGTGTCCGCTCTATATCTTGAGAACCGTTATGATTTCAAAGTTTATACTTGACTTATATATAAACCAACATCAGAGGGTGTGTCATAGTTTATGTACAACTTCCTAGGTCAAAGGTCAAGGTCATAAACTTCGGTTTCAGTTGACAACCCCATGTCCAATGATAAAGATACAAATTTTTCCCCATGTCCAATGATAAAGATACAAATTTTTTACCACACATTATTCACAACGGGGCCCACAGAGATGGCTCCCATCTCAATGATATCTAGTCTTTCCTACCTTTCTTTGAACCTCATCATCAAGTCTCTTCAGTTCAGATTCTCTTTGTTGTTTCTGGAAATGTAAAAACTTTCTTCTTGCTGCATCTAATAATTGTAGTTCTTTTAATTTCACTTCTCTGTTCATGGCATACAATCTGAAAACAACAAAAGTCATTTGAATCGTTAATGATTAATTGACTGATTGATGGTGTTAAACGCCACTTTATGCACTAGTGGCTATATTGTGGTGCTCAGTTTTTATTGGTGGAGGAAGCCAGAGTGGCCATAGTGAACCACTAGCTTCGTCAGGAAAACTAACAATTCTAGTCAATTAAGATTGGAGTCGAATGCACCTGCCATGTACGGGATTCAAACTCACAACCTCAGTGTTGACAGGCTAGTGATGCGGTACATGGAATCTTTAGACCACTCATCCACAGACGCCCCTTGAACTATTACTGAAATTAACACTTATCTTAAGGAGTGGACTGTACAAAATATTTAGCAAGTGACTAAAATAACTGTGTACACATAAACAACATTGAATTTGGGGCTAGATGATTACCACTGATAAAATGTTTAGAGGAAACAAGTAAATAATAAAATAAAATTTGCAGCAATCTTAACCACTTTTGAATGACTTTTATTGAATACTCCATATAAAAATAAGATGTGGTATGATTGCCAATGAGACAACAATCCACAAGAGACCAAATGACACAGAAATTAACAACTATTGGTCACTGTATGGCCTTCAACAATGAGCATTTTATCCTTTAAATAGCTCTAGACAGAATTTAATCTGATTGATTGATTGGTTTTTGGTGTTAAACGCCACTCAGCACTATTGCCTATGTTAATGGGGCCATTTCTTATTGGTGGAGGAAGCTGAGTGCCAGGAGAGAACCACTGATCTTCAACAGGAAAACTGATAATCCTAGTCAAGTGAGATAGGAGTCGAACACACCTGCCACGTGCAAGTTCAAACTCACAACCACTGTGTTGACAGGCTTGTGATACAGTAGATGTACTACTTAGACCACTCTGCCATCGAGGCCCCTAATTTAATCTGAACAGACCAGTAGAAATAAAACATGTAAATAAATGGGGAATGTGTCCATGGGACACAGATGATGCCCCTGCTTGCATATCATATAAAGTTATAAAGGCATATAACTGAAGAACGATAAAAGTGACACTACCCAAATTTGTACTTGATTTGAGTTTTGTGGTAATTTGGTTGAGGCTAACTTAAGTAAGAGAACAGAAACAAAAAAATTAGCAATTTTTCCATTTGAAAAGGGGCATAACTCTAGAACTGTTAAAGTGACATCACCAAAATTCAAACTTGATCTGTATTTTGTGGTAATAAGCATTGTGTAAAAGTTTCATAACATTTGGTTGAGGCAAACTAAAGTTAGAGAACGGAAACCAACTTTGGGACGTACGTTCGGACAAGGGTAAAACTTAATCCTCCCTCCGCTATGGCGGGGGCATAAACATTATTTTTTACCTCTTTCTTTGATCTACAAGTTTCACTTCCTCATCTTGGATAAGTTTTCTTCTTTTATCCTCTGCCTCCAGGAGGAGCTGTTGTTGTCTGTACCATGCTTCTTCCTCTTGTTGTCGTTTCTGTGTTTCTTTCTGCATTTCCAAAGACAAATGTCTGAAATAATGAAGACAAAATATATAATACTTTGTTAACATGGTTTTGGCTAAGTATAAAAATTAAGACACAATTCTAATGCTTTGCCAATTGGCTATATATAGTTGGGCGAAATAACTTTCATGTTGGAATGCTGTCAACTAAACTTTATTTCAAGACAGGTAGAACATAAATTCTAGCCTTTTAATACTTTTAAACATTATCCAATCAGAACTGAAATTATAAATACAGTAAAACCTGTGTAAACCGGCCGACTAAGGGACTATGAAAAAGGGCTGGTTTGGAAAGTGGGCCGGTTTATTCAGGTTTCCGTTTTGACCGGAAATTAATGACTTGTGACGTCCGATATATTGCATGCGAAAGTTCATTGGCTATAGAAATTGTTCCTTGGAATTCAGGATACACAGGGTATTTTAACAAAGACTTTGAAGGTATAAAAATGGGACTTTAATTTTTGGCCGCAATGGACAGGAAACCGGTTTATTCAGGGTCCAGTTTACTCAGGTTTGACTGTAACGGTAATTTCAATGTTCAACTGTTCAATCTAAAACCATTTACTGTGGATTCATTATTATTCGTGGGATATCAATTTTCCTGGATTTCAAAGGTAAACAAGAACCACAATTTAAATGTTAAACAAAGTACGCATTTTGTATAGGCTATTCAGCAGATGATTGCAAAACCAAAAAATCAAACATTCACAAAAATACCATTTTTCCTTAATCTAGAAAAATTGGTACCCATGAAAAATGAATTCACAGTATCTTAAGCTCCTATTATTCTTTCCTTATTTGAAATGCCTTTTCTTTAAAACTCATAAATACTATAATGAAATTTGGAAGTTGAGTACTTGTTTTTGAAAGGTTACAACAAAATAATATAAGTGTTACCAAATTTTCTTGCTTCAGGCATGTTTCTACCAGTATCTCATTGACAATAACACAGAACCTTCTTTTTGTTTAACTTACTTTTGTCTCATATATTCCATCTCTTCATGCCTTATCCTTTCTCTTTCTTGTACCTATAAGCAGTTAATAAACACAAGATTTTTATCATGATATGTAACCTATTATCAATGAAATAAAATAACAGGCAAAATGGGTTGCAGTTCTCTCCCTTGGGAAGTAAAAAAGAAAGGTCTGTTTATAAATTAAGTACTATTCTTTCAATGCTCTTTTCGTAATTCAGTGCCACCTTATTGACATTTACGGAGGTTTGAAAAGTAAGATTTGATTGAAAATACCTTCTTTCATTAATAGCTGTCTAAACTGCAGGAAGAATTGGTTGTAAGAAGTTGACAATTAGTAACAAATTTGTTATAGAATCTGAAACCAACATATAAGTATGTGCCATGCTAGTCATGTATCAAAATGATGTCTTGATAATTTGTTTTATTGGCTGATTTTTTTCTTGGTACCATGCAAAATTTGTAAATAAATAATCTTTTACACACAGTTTAAAAATTAAGATTTTTTGCACCATGCATTTCTTTCTACCCAAAGATGTCTGTTATGACTTTGTTTCATTCACTATTTTCTAAATTTTTGCTTTGATCTTTTTGTGTGATAATCATGATGAAGTCATAAGCCAACGTCACTGATGTTGCATAGGAAAATAGAGATAAACTGATTATCTATGGTCTTTCATTTCAAGGAAGGTTTTTGGTTACATTTCATCTCAGGGAGATACACCTTAGATGTGATTGTAGAAGAGAAACTTCCTCTCATTTTCAAAACCATAGATAATCTATAATTATTTGTCTCTTTTATATATTTACCTGATAATCCACAATAAATTTAGGATATTTATTGAAGACAGGATATTGTCCTACAGTAAGAGGTTTAAAGTCTTCCAATGTCTTCTCAGGATGTATGTCTTTAGGTGTAGATTCCATCAGTCTGTAGGCTTCCTTGATCACATGTTTAATATCTACTGCATTTCTATGGTGGTAAAAATACTGAAATAGAACAATGGAAAAGATTGTAAGTTTCTACATTTTCAAAATGTGGCAGTACATTATCATTACCGTATAAGGTAATTTAACCATTTTTCAAAACTAGACAAAAGATACATTGAACTCAAAGAAAAATGTTGCTTGTCACTTTCATGAGTTTGCCCCCCTCCCCTTTTTCAGTCTACTCCTATGCCACTGCTGCATTTATCTTTCAATAAACAAGTTTATACTTTCAAATAAATATAAACGATATGAGACTTGATCCTTCATAGCAATCTAAGTGTTTTCATTGTTTAAGTAAATGCAGTACCCGGTAAGCTTCCTTGGTTTATACATACTCTATACATAAGAGATATTTTCTCATATAATATTACCCCCAAAAAAATACTGACATTATCTCTAATATTTGTTTGTCATTTGGAGATTGGGTGTTAATGGCAGATCTTCCATTGTTTTTGTTGAATTTATAAACAATTTTATAGATTTGGGATGATATAGAGCTTGACATATTGTATAGAAACTAGTCTAATGTCAAAGACTGTATGTTGCTCTAAAGATGTCTTTTGATCATTTTTGTTTTTGGGTTGCTGTATCATTGACATATACTTCACATCTTTTATTAAAATGACAATTGATATAAACTTACTTTAAAATCATCTAATTCTATACACTGCATGAGAGGACCTCTGGCTGACATGGCATAGGCTACAACCACCATCAACAGGAAGGAGGGGTGGTTAGAGAACACATTGTCAAATAACATCAACCATTCATCTCTTGTTAGAACTTCTGAGAATAATGTCTCCAGTAATGGCCAAGCATAAACCTGAAATTAACAAAAAAATAGGTGTAATAATCTCAAATAATAGCATTAAGGAGTAAGAGCAAAGACTGGTTGACTTGGAGTCAGAACAATGTGTCCTGGTAGGGTGACAAGTCTTCCTGCGGACTGTTACATTGGGAACTAGCAGGTAAAAAATACAACTCAACATGTTGGTCTAGTATAAAGCAGGGTAAATATTCATATTACAATAACATGTTCTCGTCTTGAATATGCATTTAATTTGCTGCTGGACATTAAGCAGCCATCATCATCATCATCATCAACATCAAATAGTATTCAAATAGATAGTATTCTGGTAAGAGTGGTATATCATCTTTAATCATAATAATTTCAGATCCGTATTATTATTACTAAAGACCATATCTTGTTTGATCCTTTCAACTATATCAATGCAAGAAGGACTGCTGAAACAAATTTTGGTTCTGAAATGGGTAAAAAATTTGCAGTTAAGAAGAGATTTTTTCTTCAAAATAAACTAATGAACCACAACATTATACCCATATGCACATTTGGAAATGTACCAAGTTTAAAATATATACAATAAATGATATGTAAGAGGATGTTGGAATGGTAAGTTTCAACATGGTAAACATGTCTTAGTTCTAAGGGCATAAGTCTACAAAAGAAAACATTTTGTGCATGAGCAAATCTGCATATTAGGATTCACTTCAATATAATAGTATAAACCATTAGGAGTTGGGATTGAAGCATTAGTACAAAAAAGCATAAAAACCTTTCAGAGGGTGGCATATTCCTCAACTACCCATACAGAAAAAAAATCCTGTTTTCAAATCATTATCATTTTTTGTTTACTAAGTTTGAAACAACTGACCTTAGGCCTAAGACATTGGTACTAGCAGAGGGCCTGAGAGACTAATTCCCATATAATATTCCACACATACATTGCATAGATTTACTTGTGTAGAGAAAAACAGGAGGTTAAGTTATCTTCCTTCAAAACCTAACAATGAAATCAAAAAGTCTGTTTTTAACTTCAAACTATGTAACTGACTTTTTTTCTTTCTAATCAAATTTTATCAAATATAAAAATGCAAATGAAAAATATTAAGGGAGAGGCCTTTTGATTTTTTATGTTGTGGGAAGGAATACCTCACATATAAAAATTATTTTGTCCTATCTGTTTTTCAAATGTATACATCTTTTTTTAACTTAAAATCTTTTAAAGTTCATATAAAAAAAACATTATGAAATTACTTCATACATTATATTAATATAAAAGTCAAAAAAATGCTCTCAAGATGGATAAAAGATTCACTGAACTTTTTGTGTTTTTTCTTTGAAATATATGCATCAATAATAGATTTTATTCAAATAACATTCACTTCAAATTATATTCCCATATACCACACAAAACTTAATAAACTGCCACATCATATTTGTTTTCTATATTTGCAAACTGTGAGTGGACAATCATAATTTGATTAAACATGTCAAACAAATAAATCTGCAATCAATTCTGAGTGCTAGTCAAGATGTCTACTTAAAAAAACTAAGCACTACAAAATGTCATTACCAGAACCATAAAAACTGAAAACACCAGTCTATTGTTTGACAATGTATTCCAAATGTCCTCTGAATACAGGCAATCAGTACCAAATGTCAATTATAACTGTTGAACAATGTGAACAATACTGGTCCCAGTAAGTCTGGACAGCGGTCTTCTATGTCAAAATATAGGCTAAATATGTCCTCAAAACTAAGTCAATAGGTACCAAATGAAAATCAAACAAAAACCAATCAGGTTGCCTTTTGTGTGGCATTTTGAACAGTTTTATGTATCTTTGTAGTAGTTTTTGTTTCAAACAAGTAAAATGAATTAGGTGTAAATTTTATCTGTTTACATAAAATTTGCTACATTTAGTAAAAATCTAGACAGAACATTTGAAGTTATGGGAAATCAAAAACTAATTTAGACCCCCCATCTGACTTAAATATCATCTAGGTCCATTCAATTTCTGAAATCTAAATTATGTATTGTATCATAAGTTCTTGACACTGAATATACAAACAATGAAATAATTTGCACCTGAAAATCAGGGATTCTTCATCTCTTATGGAACCTTTTTTGTAGGTTTGGTAGGGATTGGGTATAGATGGTCAAAATTTTAAAAAAATTCACAAATATGATTTTTACTTTTTGTTTAAATTGTCCAAAAAAACTTAAAATTTATTTATTTCACCCAGATACAACAATTAAACAAACAAGTATGGTTCAAGTGGTAATTACATGTAGAAAAAATATCTTCATTTTCAATTTTGAACTTGACTTTTAAATGTTGACCTACTTTGTGCAAAACTGAAGTAGCTTCAACTTCTCACACAAAAATTCATCAAAATTTAGTTGAAATGGATGCACTGTTCAAAACTACTATTTTTAAAACATACTTTCAGTCCATTTACTGTCAAGTTTGAGAATCTGGATTTGTTTAAGGCTCTATTCATTATTCTATTGGCACATTATTCTCTATTCTGAAAACCCGCCCAGACCTTCAAGTATTGTAAGTCTGGACAGTGTTTTGAGATACAATGAAAAGCATGTACTTTTTGGTGTGTAAACTTATAATTATGTCAGTGTACAGCTGTCATGACAATATATATGAATATATGGTCTCACACTTTGGTGTATTGATGCAAACACAAACACAAAGTCTTTGTCTTCCTTAAGAACATTTGTTCCTAAAGGATGTTTAGTTTAGGTGTAAGGATTAATAGATTAAATATGGATATTAATTATTGACTTCATATATAACAATGATCTGATGTATATATTCTCATAAAGCAGATGAACTATTCTTACAGAGAAGATAATATGACATTGATAACAAATATTAAATATAGCATGTGTGAAATACAGATATTAAATATATTTAATATAATATATATATTGAACAAAAGAAAAACTAATGTGTTTTTTAATAATAATCAATGACTGAATGTGTCATATTCAGGTGATTTTTTTTTTTTTGGGGGGGGGGGGGGGGGGTTAAATAGTCTGTAGTATACCATATTTTGGCTTTGTATGATGAGTATATAAATCTGTATTTATTGTAAATTTTTGTTTGATTTGTGATATTAACATATATAAAGGATGGTCATTTCGATAATCTGACAATTTTATGTCAATATTGGACACCTATTTCAAAAGACATAACTTCAGCTATTGTAAACATTTTCCTCATTTAAGTAATCTAGGCTCTATAGTGTTTAAAGAAGCCATTCCTTCTTACAAGAATTCTTCTGTTCATTGAAAGATAACAAAACATATGCATCAATGTTCAAGGTCCAGTCAGTTATTAAATAAATCAAATATTGGACTATGTTTATATGGTACAGAATTACATATATGAAACTGGCCCTGTACAAAATTAACATGCAGTTTTTAAAATTTTAGTTCACATGAATAAAATATAAGGGGTATATGTAGTCCAGAGATTGCACTGACATCTGAAAATAGATGCATGACAGACAGAAACTTTATTACATAAGACATCTGTATACAAGATATGAAGCATCCATATCATCTACCCTCTGAAATATAAAGCTTTATACAAATAGCTAGTGTCATTGCTGCCACCAGTTTAGCATTCCTATGTCTTATATTTGCGACTTTCATCACAGGTGAGACAAAAACCAAAAGACATCTAGAGGTTAACAATAGTCTTCATTAAGGTTGCATCGAGTTCATTAATAGACAGCTGCCTATAAGATATGTCAAGCTCTTTGATTGTGAATTTAATAAATTTAAAGTAGACTATCAAAGATTCACTTAATTCCCCAAATGAAAAAAACCATTAAACAAAGGACCAACCACTGACAAGGTTGGAATGATGAGGTAAAACATAAAAATATTGCTTGGCATTCAAGAAGCCTGAAAGTTTGTGTCAGATTGGCCAGTCTTTGATGGTAGGCTTTCAGACTCTCCTAGAAGTATGTCAATACAAGTGACATGAATATAGGTCATTATTATCCAATAAACTGCTTCGCTGAGCGCAGCTAGATACGCCCGCAGGGGTCCAACCCTGAATAGTTGGGGCAAAAATGGACACAATATTCAAGCTTGATTCAGGTCTGAATTTGGATTGTAATTAAATATTTGACATATCATAGGTTTCTGAATAAATGTAGTCAAAGATCTTGAAATTGGTTATATGAATTGAATTTATATTCAATTAAAGATTTCTTGCTGTTGTGCAATACTTAGTAAATCTGTTGTCAGACTATAAACAAATAAAGTTCAATTAATTTTCAATGTCATATTAGAAATTTATGAAAATAAAAAGGGAGCTTACATCAATAGATATAAACAATTCACCAAAGTTTCATGAGAATTGGTGACAGCATTTTTGAGTTATTGTCCGAAAACTGGAAAATCACCCCTTTTTTTAATGAATAAAACCCTATAACTCAGAAATGTAAATTGTAAAATTTATTAAATTCTAAAGGGAGCTTACATCAATACATACAAACAATTCACCAAAGTTTCATAAGAATTGCTGAAAGCATTTTTGAGTTTTTGTCCGAAAACTGGAAAATCCCCCCTTTTTTTATAAATAAAACCATGTAACTCGGAAACGTAAAATCTAAAATTTATAAAAATCGAAAGGGAGCTCATGTCAATAGATATAAACAATTCACCACAATTTCTTGCAAGTTGGTGAAAGCATTATTGACTTATTGTCCGAAAACTGGAAAATCCCCCTTTTTTTAATGAATAAAACCCCATAACTCGGAAACGTAAAATCTAAATTTTATAAAAAACGAAAGGGAGCTCACGTCAATAGATATAAACAACTCACCAAAGTTTTATGCAAATTGGTTAAATCATTTTTGAGTTAATGTCCGACATGTAGACGACGGACAGACGGACGGACAGACGGACAACGGTATACCATAATACGTCCCGTAAACGGGCGTATAAAATCTGAGCTCACACATAAAGCTTTATTAAAGTCAGTGGTTAT